ATATCGAATGAAAAATTGGAGAGAGGAACATATGAAAAAGCAAATGTACCATGGCAGAAAGAGGAGATCCATACATGAGGATGTTGAGACCGGCGCAGATAAATCCCATTGCATGAGAACGCGTGTTTTCCTCTCTAAACGCGATTCTCGTGGCCGCAATCGCAGTCGCTGGAAAACACACGTTCAGCATTCCGACCAACAACGCCGTCTTCAACTGCCCACGACCAAATATAAAACATTATATACATCAATCAAAATCCGAAAAAACGTATATAAATAAACGTGACATTAATGAAGCCAAAACAATCTGAATTTCATGTAGCGCTACATATGAATGCGTATTTTAACCTATATATATACACACACTTATATTAATTATATATATATATATAGGTGCACGTGCCTTTTTAGGTGGAGGGGCATAAAGGAGGAAAAGGGAGACGTAGATGGATTCGACAAGGGCACCGAAGCCGTTGACTGTGGCGACCAGATATTCACCGGGAGTGACCATCCCGTAGAATGTCCAGAGCGACGAGCCCAAGAGGGTGCATATGTACGGCAAGCTCTCGTACTCCTCCGTCGATCTCCTCCTCACTATTCTCCAGAACGTCTCCCTTTTTTATTTTTATTTTTGGACCCACCATTACCCGTTAATAATCATTAGTATTTCTATATAATCTCTTGTTACATTATCAATTCACCATTTAATTATCTCCAAAGTTTAGGATATAATCATTTTATCAGTGAGACACTGAAAAAAGGAAAGAAAAGATTGTTCTTATCTATATATAGAGAAACAAATATATATATATATATAGAACTTACACGGGGGAGAGAAATACTAACACCGAAATCACATTTCCTGTATCAAGAAGAAGTCCAAATACCATAACCATTAGTTTTCTTGAGTTTGTATAAATTTAGATGTAACATTTTAATATACATATATATATATATACACACACGCACACTGAGCTGTTGATAATACCCCATCGATATCTAAATATATATACACACACATACACGCGTACTGGTAAATAATAAATAGGTTTTGTATACATGTATACACCGATACAGAGCTATGAAATACACATGCGTATACACACACGTGCACAGGGACAGACAGAAAACACGTGTTACCTATGCCCGACGTAGAAGCTTAAGTCCGCCATATCTCTACAAGTGTTTCTGAAAGGAGAAAAAACGAGGATGAGAGAGAGAGAGGAAATGAGGAGAGTTAGGTGGAGACAAGGTCACCCTTGCCTATCTTGATATCATTCATTTTATTTTATCTAAAATATGTGGGGTTGTATATGACTGTATGGTTATATAAATAAAACATAAGCTTTGATATTCATTTATTATATACAAGTGGACGGTCCATTTTCTTAGTTTTATAATTGAAGCATGTGCCATTTGGTCTAGCAAAATTAACTTCGTGCTTACCACGATTCTACATTTTCCTGTCGAATAACTCTTCTTCTTCTTCTTCCTCTAATGGCTTAAGTTAGTATAATAATGGGATTTTTATGGAGGATTTAATTGCTTATTCCTCTCCTTTCCCTTATATATAAGTATTAACACGTGTTATTCTAAACAACTAAATTTTGGGAAATTCAATTGACAAAATTTGTTGTAATATAGGACTAACACGGTTAGAGATCATTGACAAATAATGTGTCATATTAAAATTAAGGGATGCATATATATATGTGTGTGTGTGTGATTTAAAATATTACAACTAATGCATCTTGTGTATATATATTATATATATGTATGTATGATAGAAAAACAGGGTACTATCTCCTTTTGCTTGGAACTAATTATATTATCTGTAGTGCTTTCTCGAATTATTAAATTCCGGGCATTGTTGGCATCACTACAGCCACTTACTTGAAAATTCATGTCGGGGTGAAAATCACGTGGCTTTCATATTGGTCCAAAAATTTTATGTTATTTTCACTACAACCCCTATGTTTTAACAATATTTTTTTTCTGCTTTTATTTCATAAATTGAAAATTTTCCAAGAGCTCCTGCCTTGAATTTAACATTGACAAGATAAATTGACGTGTTAATTATGGGCCTAATGGAACAAAAAGAGATGCATTTAATTATGGGCCTAATGAAACAAACATCAGACGTCATGTTATGGCCCAGGTCCATTAATGAATAGATTATGTTAATTAAACATCTCTCTCTAATCGCTTCTTTACGTTTTAAAATTTTCAATTAATCAAATATATTCCAACTTAAAAATGCATAAATTATAACGATCAAAGTAATTAAAATAAACGGCTATATTTGTGACAAAAAAAAAATTGCATCTCTATTGTGGCTAGCAAAAAAATATAAAGATAGGATCTAATATATGAACACAAAACTTTGAAATTCACATGTTAGAAAACCCTATATGAAATGTGGCTTACATTGATACATAGGGTTTTTTTATTTTTGATGATATAAAAGAAAAACTAAAATCAGAAAGTGAGAAAATAATCGTGAATGTGTTTGCTTATGTCGTCGGGTCTCTCTTCGTGGAGGAAATGTCCAACACCTTCCAAGACAACAACTTGATCCAACAGGGGGACATTGGCCTTGAACCTGCCGCCATGGATGTAGTCCTTCACTCCGTGAAGGTGATAGGTCAAGTCCTGGTCTCCTATTATGAACTTCACCGGCACTTTCACCTCTGCCTTCGACAATGGCGCCATCAGCTCCCATGTTCTGCAACCCACGAACCGTAATGTCAATTACTGATCACTGATCAACGACCCACAAGCGATTTCAGACAAGAATACCAACCGATCCATGTTCCGGTAGTAGTTTAATGGCCCTGTGAATCCTTTCTTCTCGTACTTGGAAACATAGTATTGAAGATCGTAATCGCTTAGCCAAGAAGGGCGTGAAAGATGAACACTGTAGCCTTTTCCTTTAGGTAGACGAAGAGGGCTTGGATTCCTATACGTCAGGAACTCCATTAGCGCTCTTTCAGTTCCCATCTTCGCAAATTCCGCTTCTATCGCCCCGTATTCCTGCAAATTGCGATTCAACCTCACCAAAATCCTGCAGATGCAGTGTTGTATCTACAAAACTAATGAGAAATTTTACCTGAAATCTGCAGATGTAGTAGTCATCACCGTAGAGGTGCTTCCATGTCGGGATTGGCTTCCTCTTAGGGTTCCATGGATCGAACACAACGCTCATGTTCACCAGTGCCCTAACCCTATCCGGTCGGAGGAGGCATAGCTGCCATGCGATGATTGCTCCCCAATCGTGTCCCACTACGAACACTTTCTCCCGTTCCCCGACGATGGCGTCGATCAGCCCAATCAAATCTCCGACTACGTGAAGACCTGTGTACGCTCCCACGCTCTCCGGCGCGTCGGTGTCACCATAGCCGCGGAGGTCCGGCGCAATCGTACGGTATCCCAACGCCGATAACGCCGTCATCTGATGCCTCCACGAGTACCAGAGCTCGGGGAATCCGTGGATGAAGAGGATCACCGGAGGGCCGCGAATCCCGCCGAAATCGCCTTCACCGGCGGCGGCGGGGGATGGGCTTTTCTCGGCGAAGTGCATGTTGATTCCGTTCACTTTGATGAACTTGTGCTGGAAGGTAAGATCCATTTGACGCGAGAGCAAGGAGAAGTTCGTTCGATTCCTGAGAAAATGGTAGCAGATCTTCAATTCTCCAGGAAAATCATCCTCGATCCGATCCGTCAATCGTCGCGACTCGGGAAGAGCAGTCAGTCACCAACCCCGTCAGTCGGGCCCATCATATATATAATCTATATGAAATGTTAATTGGATAATGAGCCTGCATCCTCCATATATGGGCTCTACTTTAATATATTCTCTAATGGGCCTTACTGTATTTTTTGAATGATGGGCCTTAGTGGGTCTATATTCGGCCCATTTTATGTTTCTAAATTTCACAAGTGGTAAAATGTATTTTTATTTTACAAAAAATAATAATTTTTATTTTTACCCAGAAAAATGAAGCTAATATACCCACTAAGGCCCAACAATATAACTGTGTTCATGTAATGGATGATTCTTCGTTACTGTGGCTTTAAAGTTTAGATATGGTCTGATTTCATGTGAAGTCAACAAATGGGGTTGATCCGTGAGTCAAATCATCATTGACATCAATCATCGTATGCCATTATTTGGGTAAGTAAATAAATAAATTGAAACACTATAGGGTAAATTGACAAAAAAAAAAACCTGTATTTTTTTGTCTTAATTTAAATTTTGTATCCTACAAAATCCTATACAATTAGATTTTTTCTAAAAAATTCTTATATTTTATATATTATGGCAATTTAAACCCTTTATTTATTGTTTATCCTAAAAAAAACTTATACAATTATATTCTTTCCAAAAAATTCTCCTACTTTTGCGTATTTAGACCAAATTAACACCGTCATTTTTTTTTTGGCAAATGGACATACATAAATCATATGGGGTAAAAAATAATTTTACATGTATTAAAAAATGATCCATATACATAAATCCTACATGATGCATTTAGATTGATATGGTATAGCTTTAGATTTAATTGACTCGTTATTAGTTATCTCACTTTGATAATACATTCTTACTATCTCATTCGATTTGAGACATAACGACCACAAATAAGGTTATCGTGGATCAATTTTTATCTATAGGAGTAGATATTTTGTATTAAATTTTTTGTTTAATTAATTTAACCTAAATCGATTTGGATTAAATAAAGATTGAAATAATTATCCCACGTGTCGATGGCGATCGTTTTTATTATACGTAGGATTAGTTTTTGCGACATATGATTTATGTATGATCATTTGTCGATTTTTATGACGGTGTTATTTTGGTCCAAATATATAAAGTACAAGAACTTTTTGGAGAGAATCTAATTCTACATGGTTTTTTAGGATAAAAAATAATTATAAGATTTAAATTGTTATAATATGTAAAGTATAGAGAATTTTTAGAAAAAATCTAATTTTACAGGATATTCTAGGATCAAAAATAAATATAAAGTTGAAATTGAGACAAAATAAAAGTATTTGATCATTTACCCAAACACTATACAATGGAGCTTATTGCTATGCTAAACAGGAAACCATTTTTTTTTTTTTGTAATGAACAGAATAAAAAAGCAATCTTTATGCACCAACTATGTAAATCAATTTACATAGTCGATATAAAACTCGAAATTTTCCATACAACTATATATCGGACGCTTATGAATGACTTTCTCACATGCACATAGATTTGTTCATGTATACAAACCATTATTGAGAAACAAAACAAAAAAAAAAAATATGTGAGAAGAAAATGACGGTTTACCCAGAGACTTGAAAGAAATAGAAAAGAGAAATATCCAAGAAGAAACCTCAAACGATAAATAAAGTAATGAAAAGTCATATTAAAAAAAAAAAGGGTAGAAACGTCAAAGAAAAATCCAGCGTCAACGTCGGCGTCTCACAAACAATAATTAAGAAGGCAGTTTCACACGAACCCTCTCCCAATCTATCCATCGCCATTACTAAACCCCTAACCTCACCTTCTTCTTCAGTTGACCTCTCTCTCTGATCTCTCTCTAAACCCGACCCGAATCATGAGCTCCAACAACCCGGATCTGGATTCCGTTGGCGCACCCGGAGACTTCTCCGGCCCGCGGAGCTACGCACTGAGCGGCAAAATCATGCTCTCCGCCATCGTCATCCTCTTCTTCGTCGTCATCCTCATGGTCTGTCTCCACCTCTACGCACGTTGGTACCTCCTCCGCGCTCGCCGCCGCTATCTGCGCCGCCGACGCCGCAATCGCCATCCCACCACCGTCTTCTTTGTTGACCCCTCGGCCTCCGCCGCCTCCGGAGCTGCTGGGCTTGACCCAACTGTCATAAAGTCTCTCCCCGTCTTCAGCTTCTCCGCCGCGACCCATCCCGACCCAATCGAGTGCGCTGTCTGCTTGTGTGAGTTCGAGGAGGACGAGGCGGGTCGGGTCTTACCCAACTGCAAACACACCTTCCACGTCGAGTGCATCGATATGTGGTTCCACTCTCATTCCACGTGTCCTCTCTGCCGGTCCCTGGTCGAACCCGTTCCCGGCGAGCAAATTCAGGCGGCGGAGGAGGTTGCGATCGTGATTCCCGAAGACCCGGCTCCGAGCTCGGAGTTGTGCGACACGTGTCGGGTCGATTCCGATGGAGCGGGTACTTCGATGCCGGAAGAACGCCGGATAAAGCCGCCGGCGATCGATGTGCCAAGGAGGAATCCCTGCGAGTTGGAGAACGAGGCGACTCGGAGCGACTCACCGGTGAATCAGTCGTTCAGGTCGCCGATGAGCCGGATGCTTTCGTTCAAGCGGATTCTGAGCAGAGACTGGAGAACGGCATCTTCTCCATCCGGCGGATCTCCGTCGCCATCGGCGTACGGATGCGGAACATCGGTGACCGAGTCAGACGTCGAACAAGGGAGAGAGGAGGGTCGCTGAGTTACGGCAGCCACGTGGGGTTATTTTATTGGTTGATAGAATTAGCATTAAAAACGCAAAGTAAAACATTCTTTGGGTTAATCCCAAATCCGGCTGAGATTGGTTTCAGCGCCCGTTGACACGTGGCGAGATCTGAACAATCGATACAGTCAAACATTAGATCTTGTACATATGCCATGGAATCATTATTTTGATTTGTTCCCTTTTTTTTCAAAAAAAAAAAAACTCCAATTGAGCAATTTCGTTATTCACCGTAATAAATATAATTGGTTATTTTATTTGGTAATTTTTTTTACACTTATTCCGTTTTAAATATGTATGTGAACATAGTTTTATATATGATTTCGTTATATTTTACTCTCCATCCCAATTTTATTTGGTTTCAACTTTCGCTTACAGATTGCGTTATATTTTTTTGTAATGAAATTTGGGTATATCGCGTTATATTTTTATTAGAACACGGTTATATGGTTGGTTATTTTTTATTTGTTTTTTTATGGTTTATTTATATTTTTCTCTTGGTTTATATTTGCATTGGAGAAAATTATTATCCGTTTCGATAAATAAAAGATAAACAAAATTTATCTCCTATTGAATTTTTAAAATTTAATATATTTAAATACAGATACAAACATAAACGAGTTTTACACGTTAATTCTATACACTCCAAGTTTTGACTCGTTAGAGCGTGCATTTATTTTATTTCTTTAAATTGGCGATAGGGTTTACTTTTGGGGTGCTTGTTCTCTACGCGGTGCAAGTGGACCCAACTCATGCCCCCTAACCGCACCACACCGCGGAATTCATTTATGGAACTTTTTTTTATATATACAAAAAATATAATTTTTATATCAATTTAATAAAATGAAATCTATTTTAAATGTTTCATTTTACCTTTCAAATCCAAAAAAAAAATGGCAGTTTCCAGGAGATTTCCAGTGTCAATTAATGTCAATGGATATGATGGGAAAGTGGTCTTTGTTGCTTTCCCGACATGAGTCAGTTGGGCAAGTCCGGAGAGAGATAAAGAAGCCATATTTAGACACGCGTTTTCCGAAAATACGCCAATTTTTCTACTTATTCATTGATGTAATAAATTCAGAAACAATGGATTAATCATCTAATATTGTTCTTAGCTATTATTTATTTATTTATTTTTTGGTGCATGCCGTACAAATACGATTTGTCCTTTTGTGTGTTTAATACGTGTGTACCTTTTTAATTATGGGTTTTTTGTTTATGAAACCTTTTTTTTTGTAACCGGGTTTTCTGGTCCAAGTCCCAAACTAATTCCGTTGGCGGAAGCCAGTAATGTGATTTGAATTATGCGTTCTCTCCCCAGTCTGAGGTTCGAACTCGGGGCGGGACAGACATTTTGCATTCCCGTTTCACTGGTTGAGTTTTTTGTTTATGAAACTTAATGGCAACAAAGACAAAATAATAAATGTTGAAAAGGAATAGACAAATTGTTTCACCGAACACTTCAGTTCATGAAAACATGTGCGCGTCTCCGAAATTAGATATTTTCCTACAAGTTTGGGATCCCTCAATCTTTTCCCTTTGGGCAGGGCTGCATTATGAGCGTATGAAACAAAATTAGGGTTTTATTGAAGTTGATTGAAACCCTTCGGTGCAAGAAATACATATATTAATATAGGAGACGACGTTTAACAACTCGCACGCGTTTATGTAAAGCAAAAAACATGAAAGAAAACCTTGAAATTATACAAGGGTACCTAACCCCAACATGAAATCGAATTATTTATTATTTCAACCGAACCTTGACAAAGAGGATTGGTTATGTATGAGTTGCAAATTGATAATCTATCCTACAAAAGAACACCCAACAAATTAAATAATGCATGTAAGTTGTGGATATTATATGTGGATGATGTAACCATACGAACCATTTATTGAAAAGAATTTGATTCGATTCTCTTATCGATAAAAAAAAAAGGCAATGAATCAATCACCCTTTATACTTATCCTTTTTCTTTAACCAAAGGCCTTAGAAATTTTGTAACGTAAGTTTTTTTTTTTTATAACTTGCAACGTACAATTTCTTACGTCTCAATATATTAAATTCCATTTCAAATCGGAGAGGATAAAAAACCGTTGACAGGAGGAATCAACAAATCATGTTTCGTCTTTTCCTTGGAAGAGCTCATGCCGTTTCACATCCACAGAAACTACAAGGAGTGGCGGACGCAGCAAGAAAAACGACATGCAATTTTCATCAGTATTGGGGCACTCGATCCTTGGCCCTCGAGCGTCTCCAAACATCTCGGCTCGGTTTAATAAATAAACAAACCCCGAAACTTAATAGATAACATAATGAAGAGATAATACACAGGCAAGTGACATTCCTCCTAAGTACATACAAGATCTGGTCAGCTAAATGTTACTTCTTCTAAGACAGGTATAACTTACATGGAAGTTGATAGTCATACACCTACAAAGATACTCTCTGATCAATTTTCGACGGGTTTCTCTGGAAAGTGTTACCTTGCGGAACTCAAGTCAGATTGGCTAGCAGGGCGGGCCTTTCGTCTCTTTTTGCCATCGGGAGTGCATCGTGAAACATTGATCTTTGAAAGTTTCACCGAGACTTTCCGAGCACAGCTTGAGGCTAACCCCGTACTCGGTTTATGTGGAGATCCATCTGTCTCCTTTTTGATAGGGGATTTGGCTCGTTTTCGAGACAAATGCATCGCCCTTTTCTCATCTCTGGCATTATTATTTCTGAGCAGCCGGATATGGAAAGGGTTTGCCGCAGTATAACATATAGGTTCTCCGTTTCCAGGCTTTTCCAGATCAACATCTCCGTTATTCACCTGGAAAAACAGAGAAATTTTTTTTGATGTTTCTCGGGTGGGGAATATGAATAGAAAATATTTCCCAAGTATGTGAACTACCAACTGGAGAAGCGCAGAAAATGATCGAGCTATGTCTGGCTTCTCTAGGCCCTTCACAATATCAGCAAACGACTTCGAGTTCCCACACTCCTCTTCCACGGAAAGATTAGTGATAATCCTTTCGCCGTATTCATGAATGTCAAAAGGAGGGCGTGAATCCTGATATACATCAGCAAAGGATAAAGATACAGATTCATGAATCTTAAACAAAGAAAACAACACAAAAGTTGGCAGAGACAAAATAATGGAGGAAAGGGAAAGTTCACTTGTTCTTCGAGGTTTTGCTCGATTTTCTGTTTCCACGAAGAAACACGGGCAGCAAGTTCTGTTTGCTTCTCACTTTCAGCTATACTAGCAAGGAGAGCATCCTACAAAATGTAACACAAATAAAACTAATGTGCCTTCAGTAAGATGGAAAATCAAATCTGACAGGGGTCCAGAAAATGGATATCTAAGCTTGACTCGGATGAAAATATATGACTTTTGTTACCAGGTGTGAGCGGCAAAGATCTTCCAGGTTTTCATGACAGTATTCATCCCCATTCTCAAATGCCTTGTTGTCCCGGAACTTCGTTGCTCTGTCATCATTCTGCACAAATTTTATGCACGAATGTAGCATATTTTTCCAACAGAAACATGATCAAGAAAGTGAAAGTCTCGGGGCCTTGCTCAAGCAGGAAATCACTCACCATATTGAGGACATCCTCATCCATGAACAAATGCTCTGGAGCATCATCACCGTGGTGTTTTTCAAAATCATGGAAGTCGCCATCATTTGCTGCATCATGGTCATCGTCCTCTTCATCCTTATGATTGCTATAGGCATCAGAAGGATGGTTCCCTCCATTCACAAGTGATTGGCGAAGCTGCAAATACAAATTTCAGCACTTCTGCTTTAAAGAATCAGACAGAGGTGTGGAAAAGGTGAACCTTTTCATAATAAGGAATATCATGTGATTCTCTCTCTTTCTTGCTCGCATTATGACGCATCTCCCAAATTTCAGTGAGTTCTGGACTGACGGAACCATGCGGTCTGGCAAGAGGGAACAAGGAAGTCACATGGTTCTTAGCAAGCCTTCCTCCATTCTTCTTGAAAGTTTTCACTGCCTCAAATTTAATGTTTAACGCAGAGAAAGGATTAGGTGCAGAACAAAATTGCAAGAAACATCAATCAAGAAGAATAACAGCCAAATCAAACCTTTTCTGAAAGGTTTCACTTTCAAATTCCCAGGTTCATGGGGATTCAAAGGCTTCCACGGATCATCATTATCAGCATCTGAGTCACTCATATCCATGGTTTCTCCATGTCCGTCATCCATAATGAATTCATGATCATTGTCTCTCAGATTACTGACAGCTACAGAATCAGGATCACTGTCTCTGAAGTTACTAAACCGTTGGTCACAATTGGTGTCCTGATTCTTTCCAGCGGATGATCTATGACCAGTACCTCCAGAACGTCCTGCTGGAGAGAGGAAGCCCTTGCGAACCGAGCTGCCTCTGCGAGCACTGTTCTTTCCTTTGCTGACATAGTTACCATCTAAAAATTCATTCACTGCTACAGCATCACATGGGTCTAATAGAATAAAATTCCGGTAGAGGTTGGTCGCAGCCAACTGCAAGACATGGACATTGAGAAAAGCAGGTCAAAACACTTGATATATTAATGCTTAACATTATGAAAGATGGAATCATGGAAGGGAGTGTTATACCAGATAGGATTCCAATTCCCCGCCGTCACCACTAGTATCTAAGCAGTCACCTTCCAGAACAACTATATTTGATGGAGGTTTCAAAAAGTGACTGGGACAGGAATCTCTGCCATTTGAACTATCTAAGCAATTCTTCGTGTCCACTGTATGTTAACAATTTTAAAGATCGGGAAACTGCACTCTTGATTGAACAAGATATAACTCATAATTTTAGAAATTTGTCTACCTGGGATGTCATCTACATTCCAGAAAAGATCGTTTTCTTCATCAGAAACTTGACGGGAGCAGGTTTCTTCAGCCTGGGCAGAAACACCTTCGGATTGTTCCTGCTCCCTGTTGGAAAGGACAAGAGAAAGCCGATCTATTAGATGGCATTCGATACATTTCAACCCAAACTGAGTAAACCAATCACTTTCAAACTCTAACGAAAACATGGTAAATTTGGTGGTATTCAGAGTACATTATTCTCTTCCAGAGGCTGCAGGGGAAAAGGCTGCAACCGTCCAAGTGAAAGGGTTGAATCACAATAAGACAATCACTACATTTCACTGCAAGCTCAGTTAAACCAAGGACACAGCTTCTCGATAGCAAATAGGAACCGTTTCTATACTACAACGTAATAATATCCACTTCATTTTGACAATAAAAACCAACCCATTCACAGAAAAATATCAGTTCTAAGTCGGTTCCGGAATCGCCCGATGTTTGAAGTATTTTAACACAGACTCTATCAGCCTTATATTGCTCGCCTGCAACCAAGAAAATGCTATGGAGCACCCAGAGTTCACAACTATAAAGAAAATCTGAAAAAAGTAAACCTCTGCTTCGAGAGAAACTCCAACGTGTGCAGAACCAAATTGTACAGATACTCCACCTTCTTGCTGTACACTTGGGCCGAACCCTGAAGCAGTAAAGCAGCTACGTTTCCGGAAAAGAAAAAATCGAAACCCGGATTTCATTGACAACAACCCTTTAGGAAATTATCGGGGAGTTCAGTAAGAAATGTTCAGGTATAGAATCAACAAACCTTCGGCAAAATTTACGGTAATCTGCCCATCGTCCTCGTTTCCCATAATTTCTCCGGAGCAGATCTTGAGCAGGTACTCTTCGAGCTTGTCTGACAAATCAACATCCCAATTGGCCTCCAAATCTCTCTCCGGCTGCACCGTATGAATTCTACTCCCGCCGCCACCGTAGCTCGTCATTTCTTCCGAAGACAGATGTAATTTGAGCTGCTGCACCGGTGGAATGGGGGAATCGCAGGTTTTCGTATCCCGCAATGGCGGTCAAGGAAACCCTAAGTATTGGTAAAGGGGTCGTTAAAGCGGCGACTTCCACAAGAATCCCAGCATTTTCTTGGGAAAATCAGAGGAAAATAGGAGAAAAACGAAGGGATACAGAAATTCAAGTGATTCCTGGAGAAGACAGAAACTGAAAGACAGAGATGGAACGAGAGATTCAAAATATTTGATGATGTTCCCGGTTCCCGCTCCCATCGCCAAAATAGCAATCGGATCCCCATGGGCCAAGAACCAGGTAATGGGCCTAATTATCTGGACCCATCCATATTTCTCTGGGCCCAAATCCATCTAAAAAAACCGTACTTTATATATTTAGAAAAAACGATTAATGATGAAGACAGTGAAAGATGACCAAGAAAACTGTTATTATTATGTTTAGATTCGTTCGCTTGCATAAGAAAATCTATTATTTATTTCCCTTACAAGCCATATACCTTCGTAGAATAGCACAAACTATATGCGTGCGCACACACATATACATATATATATATATATATATATATATATTCGTGGTCGCAATCTCTCCACGCCTTCTGAGTGAGGTAGAACACTTGCTACTCATGCGGCCATTAATTTGATTCCTTGCATTTATTTCTCTTTAATGCTTGTAAGTTGTAACGGTCCATATATATATAGTATATATATTCATATCTAGCATCATATACGTGCATTTGATTACTTCTTATAAAAACATACTATCGTTTTAAAATTTTAATCATCATTTGATTTTGTAAAAAAAATGGCATGAACTAAACATCACAACCCAATCCCCATCGATCTAATGTTGTTTTGATGGCTTGAGAGGATGAATAACATACTTTTTTTTTTTTTTTTGACATGCTACTTGTCTTCTCACTTCTTAGGACGAACAATAAGAATCACAAATAACATTAGATTATTTTATTCTATGATATTATTATTCACGAAACATGAAGGACACGACAATACAGTTCATAATTTAGCTAGGGTTTCCCATCCCAACCAAAGCAGAAGGGGGGTTTTCCGTCCCGTCTGATCCGACAAGGTCCACCGAACGTGTCTCCGTCGACGCTCCATATGCACTCCCTGCAGACCGGCCATGGACCGCCGACTGTGTCGTCCCTCGACACTTTGAACACATCGAACCATTTCGACTGGCCGGGCCACGTGAAATGGCAACGGTACCTTGTAGTCTTGAAGAAGTTGACGTGAAACTTGAATCCCCAACTGCTGTCGTAAGGGATCTTAACAAGCCCCAAGTCTTTGCCTTTGTATCTACAGTGAACGCTCAGAGTTGCTCTCGACGAAATCATGTCGTTACGGATCACGACGTGCTTATACGCAAAAGGAAAAGCTCCGTTTGGGCTTTCCGCGCAAAATGAAAGATCCAAGGGGAGAAGGAGAACGAAGAATACTGTGAAACGATGGAGATTGTTATTGGAAAGCATTTTTTTTTTCTTTTTTCTTTTTTAATGTAGCTTTAGTTAAATTGAAGATATAGATGAAAAGATGTTAGGGGTTGCCATTTCGGTTTTCGGGTTTGGTTATATTTGATTCGGTTACTTACTATAGAAAAATATATCTTTTTGTTTTTTTATATCAAATTTAGTTCGGGTTTCGAATCACGCACAGTTTTTATTGATTTCTTCATTTTAAAATCTTGTTTTTCCAACTTTTTATTCGGTTTTTTATATTAAGATTATTCCGTTTGAATATGTTACTTATACTATTCCATTATTAATCAAATTGACAACCCCTGAAAATGACACTAACTGTCCCTTGTTTGTGGAGCCGTGGGAGAAATTAAATGTACAAACATGCATGCGTTGTGGATTTACGTATAGACCAAAAGATGTGGACGAATCTATCTTTACTTTATGCAAAATAAAAAAAATAAAAAAATAAAAAATCGAATTCATCTTTTTTAGTTTTACTAGTACATGCCATTATTTCAGACACGTACGCCAATATTTCGTAGGAAAACACAAGCGTAAAGACATCGAGCGCGATGTTAAAGGAAACAGAAATAAACAAAGAGAAGAAAACGAGTTAGAATCCCTTTGAAGGGTTCCAACCAAAACAGAAGGGAGGTTTCCCGTCGCGTCTGATCCGACAAGGCCCACCGAACGTATCACCGTCGATGCTCCATACACATTCTCTGCAGATTGGCCATGGACCGCCTATGTTATCGTCCCTCAACACTTCGAAAATATCGAACCATTTCGACTGGCCGGGCCACGTGAAATGGCAGTAAAACCGCGTCGTATGTGCGAGATTAACGCGAAACCTGAATCCCCAACTGCCGCCGTACGGGATGGTCACGCGACCCAAGTCGCTGTCTCCCGACTTGCAGTGAACGACGAGGTTGTCTTTGGAAGTTAAATCGTTACGGATCACGACGTGTTTATAACTCAATAAAAGAGAGTCGTCGACGCCACCGTAGGCGACATGAAACGACGCCGTTAAGAGAATGAGAATTGGGATTAATATCAAACAATAGGGTTTGTAGGCAGCCATTTTAGGGTTTGGGGGTGAAAAGGTTGGAAGACTATTCATATAGATGAAAAAAATATATACTGTGGCATACTTTCCCAAAACAAAAGATTCATATCATTTGTTTCTTTAGTTTATTTTTTTTTACAAAAATGGAAACCCTAGATTACTTTGATACAACGTATTAATTACCTAGCATATCTCCATACTATATGGTATGGAATGACTTTTAATTTAAATTCGGAATGAGAATATCACGGTTTCTTTTTCCAAAAGAATGGATCTTGAGAAGAGGTTGATTCTCTCATGAACAAAAGAAAAAATAGATCAAGTTTGAATATTGACGAATCGGATGTCTTAGGATTTAATTGATTTAATTAGTCGTCTCGCTTAATCATATATGTGTATATATGTATATTAGTGCTATAATTTTAGTCTTTGATTACAAGCAAATGACTAAACTTTGTGTTTGACGATTTATGCAGGGATCACTAGAATTCTTTTGTATACATATACATATATATATATATAAGAAATTTAATATGCACGTGAGAATTATAACAAGTTGTGGAATTTCAGGTTACTAATTAGCATTTTTTTCTATCTATGTATTTGTAAAATATTATTGATGGTCTAGTGGTGAGATAATTTACAAAATATATTTTTATTATGGATTCAAATTCACGTGTAGAGAGAAGTATTCATCTGAATTTCTTTGATCCTTTAGGAGATATAGTTGGATATAATACGAGATGAGTTTTTGGATTATATAAAAGTCAAATATATTAGAAATATTCGTATATAATACAAAGTACAATTTTCGGATATTAAATCATTGCCCGACGCGTACGCCGACATGATAGAACGGGAACGAGTGCGGTCTCGTCATTCGACGCATTCTCGGTTTTCACGTGCCTGTTATTGGTCCCCTTCTCAGAGCCCGACCAAAGTATAAGACGTTGGCTAAACTAATACACGCTAACAATTGAATCTTTTTCCGCCTATGAAATTTTAACACTTCTTGTTATTAAGATTATTGATATTGTATGGTGACCACTATACATAACAACATTGATGATTAATGTTGCATTTCAAACTAAGCCTAGCTTTGTTTTTTCTTCCAAACTTTTATAGTATTATCATCAATGTTCCTTAGTACATAAAACATCAAGGCATCTAGATACCATCATATGAAACTATATATATATAAGTTATAATGTGGAATAAATGATAGACAAAAATATATTTACTGTTTTGATCTTACTTTAAAATGATTATAAATATTGTTATAAACGATAATCACGACATGTTATTTCGTGATAAACGTGAATTACGTAACGTATATCGAATATCGACAAACTAAATAATAATAATAATAATAATAATAATAATAATAATAATAATAATGTTTTTAAATCGAACTATTTGTTGTTTATTGATCAATAATTTATCATTTGAATCTAAAAGTATAAAATACTCAAGATAAATGAAAACTTTGTATACTCAAGATAAATGAAAACTTTGTAACATTAGTAAGAAATATTCAAGTTCATTGGTAATATCTCTGAGTTCATCTCGTTTATAAGGTGCACTTATTTTTATGAAAACTTTGTATTATAGGGAGAACCAAAAAAAATCACAATATTGATAGGTTTAAACAACCCATACCAAAACTCTATTTTTAGACAAATAAATACCCAAACAATAGCACAAAGAATCAATTGATACTATTATATCTCACTGAAAATTAATATAAAATTAAATGATTTTGTGAAATAGATTAATACTTGAAATAGGAAAAGGAAAGAAACTCTACCAAGAGATCCTACTTAGGTTAAATGTGATATGAATGACAAAATTCTTCCGGTTGTTAATCAAATAAATCCATATTTTATAAATAATTTGCAGTTATAAATTATGATAAATTATTTTTTAATTTCCCGGCGCTTGTGGACGGAACACTCTAATTTCGATTAATAAATTAATACTTCAGATATAACAAAGAAAAAATGATGCGTTTTGTTTAGAGCAAAGCCGATAATTTTGTACGTACTCGGTTAGATTGGTTGTAACCGTCGATTGATAAGAAAAATTATAATATTATAACTTGGACCACTTTTACTTTGAATAAAGAACTTTATATTATAAAGCATTTATTTCACCTATAAATAAATGCGGGCTCCTCTTCGTCCCAGTAGCAGAATCAGAAGAAGAAAGAGTGAGAGAGAAGATGTGTGGTGGTGCGATAATTTCCGATTTTGCCCCTGTCGGCACAAAGGGCCGGAAACTGACGGCGGAGGAGCTCTGGTCGGAGCTCGACGCCTCCGCCGCCGATCTCTGGGGCTTCGCCTCTTCCTCCAATAATCCTGAATCCTTCTACCAAGGTACTCTCTCTCTCTCTCTCTCTCTCTCTCTCTCAATTTCATAAATATGAAAAATCATGTCTTTATTATGATTTATCATGCATGGGTTTCATGAGAGAGGAACATATATGGATGATATTGATTGCGGTGTCAAAGTGGAGCGAAATTCAAAGCTCTCGAAATTTGATTCCTTTTTCTTTTTTTATCTTCAACTAAAAAAATGAAGCCTTTTTTGTTTTACCTTTACGTAAATAACAATTCAATATGTTTTGGTAAAATATCGGAAAGTAATTCACGAACTTTCAAGAAAATGTCAGATATTTCTGTTTATCTCATACGTACACCTCGTTATTTATGGGCCTTAATTCATAATTTCCAAGCTCGCCGGAAAGGGAACGAGGCGGAGAAACTGGCGGCGGAGAAGAAGAAGAAGACGCCATCTCCGGCGGAGGACCCGCCATCTCCGGCGCCGGAGAGACGGCGGACGAGAAAGAACATGTACAGGGGGATACGCCAGAGGCCGTGGGGGAAATGGGCGGCTGAGATCAGAGATCCACGGAAAGGCGTCCGAGTCTGGCTCGGCACCTTCAACACGGCGGAGGAAGCCGCCATGGCCTACGACTCCGCCGCCATACGCATCCGCGGCGACAAGGCTAAGCTCAACTTCGCCGCCGGGCCTCCGGCCAAGAGAAACCGCGGATTCGAGTCGACCCGGCCGAGTTTTCCGCCCGAATTCCTCGACCCGGGTTTCCGGATCGAGCCGGATTACGACCTGAAGCAGCAGATATCGAGCTTGGAGACTTTCCTGGAGCTCGACGGCGGTGCAACAACCGAGTTCCCGAGTCAGCTCAGCGGATGCGGAGCCGAGTCTGACACGGCGGCGGACCTGTGGACGCTTGATGACGTCATCGGGCATCGTTCGTCCGTGTGATAAATAAGGAGTACGATATATAAAAATAAAAAGGTGAAATGGGATGAAATAAAAAGGGTGTGGAGTTAGTGGGTAATTTCTATTATAACAGCTGGTAACTTTGTACTGGTTTTACTGTGACGTTTTCAACGTTGTGTTTGTTTGTGCTTTAATTTTGGGTCGTCGTTGTGAATATATAAACGAAATAAATATATTTCTTCCCGGTCGTACGCGTTATTTTATTTGTCTTTTTCCGTTCTTTTTAAATCCATGATATTTGTCTAAGAGTAGATTGAGATAAATGCGTAACTTAATTTTGGTTGTTTTTCTTTTTTCCTTGTTTCTCGTTAACTTTTTGATAAACGGTTCTAAGATTATTTTCCCTCCTTTTTATTCGTCCATCTTTCATCATATTTTGTTAGGATAACGTTTTTTTTTTATAATATGTGATTTGTCAAGGGTAGAGTTCGAATTTGGATGGAGCACTCTTTGTACATACCCACTTACCAGTTGAACCAACCACTCTTGGCTTGTTAGGATAACGTTACGGTTAAAATATTTTTTAAAGATATTAATCTCAATTTATTTAGTTTTTTTTGTCATAATCCAGAAATTTATCGAACTTTTGGCATAAATACATTTTTCATAAGATTGAAAAAGTTTAGATGAATACTCTACTATGCTTGAGTTTGAATCTAGGATAAAAACATGATTTACATATTTTCTTACGGATGGCTCACCCAAATTTGGGTTTATTTAGTTATTTATTAGTATAATATATAGTCTTATTTAACAGTGATAAAAACGGGTGTATTTTCGTTTTTTCGTCTAATCGCTTTTTTTCTTGCTGCTATTCGACAATCTAAATACTTATTTTTTTATTTATTAATTGTCCCGAAGTTTTTATGTACGAAGCCAATACAACAATCTGTAATAAAAAAATATATTTGATTTAAAGCAGTAATAATGTTGGCATTGCCTTTTGTACATGTATTTTCAGATTCGATACCCACGACAAATTTATATTACAAATCGCATACTAGTAGGAGTGGACACGAGTCGGGTACCCCCAATTTTTAAAATTTTTTTGTCTCGTCTTCATCACCACGGATTTTACAAAAATATTATCTCAGTCTTGGCTTCATAAAATCCGGGTACTTATAGTTCGGGTTTAATGAGATTCTCGATCTTGTACTCGCGGGTATCCGGACCCATACGACTTATAAAATTTTGAACTATAAAATGATAGACATAGAAAGTACAAATGAGAGAGGTCAAAGTACAAAGAGGAAAGTTCACGATAAAGAGAGATGAGTAAAATTTTGAGAGAAATGAATGGTTGATTCGATTGCATAGAATGAGATTTGTAATGGTGAAATTTTGGTATAGAAAGGTTTAGAACATAAAAAAATTGAACTAAAATAAAAGTATCTTAATAAATAATAATAATAATTTAGACAAAAATATTATAAATATAAAGTATATTTTAGATTTTTAACAAATATACCGGGTACCTCTGGGTATCCCTTGTAAAATAATTGAACCTCCACTCGGACTCGAGGGTTGAAAATTTAGTCTTATTAATACTCGATCTCATCATCATTAATATCCGGGTACCCTTTATTCGGGTACTTGCTAAATCGGGTACCTCCAAACCTTCGGATTACGGGTTAAAACACTCAGCTCTACATACAAGGATTAAAATGGGTTTGGATATTTTTATACGTAATATAACTTGTTTCATGATTTCTATTTACGATATTGCAATTTGATTATCAATAGTTAGGATTAAATCATTATGCTATAAGTTTAAGTTGACTTGGTGAAGAAAAATTCACAAAAGGATATGTGATAAATTCAGTGTATCGTCCATAAATAGCGACGCACGTCGCCATCTTCGTAAAAATGGACCGAAAATAAAAATTTAAGAACATAGTGCAAGAAAATTATGAAGTTGTTGACATCATATTATGCTTTTTTATACTTGTGTATTTATTTATTTTTTCAATAACGTGTACATGGAAGTTTAATTATACAGTAATATAATATACTTAATTGTAGTCACGGTTTAGATTATAGTTCATTTGCTTGACACCATATAATGTACATCATTTATAAACTGTCATTGAAATTTATAAAATTATAAATGATTAAATGTAATATATACATATATATATATATATATATATGTATACATATATGTATTATTGTTGTACAAATTTAAATCCAGGTCTCATGTAAATTACTAGAATAGTATTTTGGTTTTTTATTATGGTCTATCCTAAATATCATAAAAAATATACTTTATTTTCACTATAAATTATGTTGATATAAATATCTGTTTATTAATTAATAAAAGACGACCTAGTTGGGCAAATTTAAATACAATGGAATTTCAGATGCATGAATCTGGACGAGCAATATGGTGTCATTGGAGTTAGCGTGGGTCCCTACCGATTTAACAAGATTGACAGAATCTTAATTTGATGCAATTATCTCTTCATCTCGCTTTCATGATTAAGCAATAAACCATATATATATACATATTTAATTAAATATTCAAATGTTACAGTACTCAATCATATCAAATGAAGCGCTAATCATTTATTTGTAATCATACATAGGCTGATATTACATCAAATATTTAATGTATTCAATATTTTATCCTTTTGATAGCTTTTGAAAATGTACGAAACTCTTGGGTATTGACTGCATGGGTTAGTAAACCTGTATTTACATTTATTAACTCTTTTTCATTTCGTGCATTTAGATTAAATTAAGAACCATTATTTTCATTTATATATGAAAATTAATTAAAAAATATATTAGAAGTCGACATTCGCAGTTATTAAAAAACGGGGTTCAACTTGCTCTGTCCAATGTCTGGTTGCCTCAAAATGGAACCCACCATATTGCCTTTGTCTCGTCATATATCAGAGTTTCTATAATCAAATTCACACACGAATATATATATATATACACATATATATACACACACACATCCGAGTAGGACCAGATACATTTTGTCACAGATATATGTGTATATATACATATACACCCAAGTAGGGACAGATACATTTTGTCACAATCATTGTAAATCATGCAGGGACATAAATTCGTTCGAGGCATCGTGTTTGCGTTTTCTAAGATTTATTCTTTGTCCTTTTCTTCTTGCTGAATGATGTTCTAAAGAGGGAAAATCCCATAAAATAAAATAAAAAACACCTAAACTTTTAATTTAACAAATAAATATATCAAATATTGAAATGTTCTTCTTTTCTTTCTAAATAACGCTGTCAACTTTTAGTTGAGGTTTTTTTTTTCTCCATAAAGTTTGGATTTCCCCTAAATAACGGAATTTGAAAAATGATTATACAGGCCCAAACCGCATACCACAGAACTCGGGGTAGGACACGTCACGATTTTTTGTTGCTGAAAAGGCCGGATCTAGATTGGCCCAACTATGAAACCTCTTATTGAAATAGAGGGACCGGTTTGTGGATCCAAAAACCCTAGGACTCGTGATCCTCGTTTTATAGGCAGTCGCCATTTTTGTCCCCTTCCAGTCGAAAACCCTATCGGCGAAGCCATGGTGTCGCTGAAGCTTCAGAAGCGGCTTGCCGCAAGCGTGCTGAAATGTGGGAAGGGAAAGGTTTGGTTGGATCCCAATGAAGTTAGCGAGATCTCCATGGCTAATTCCAGTAAGTCCTTCAGTTCTCTACCTCTTCCTACTTCTATGGTCTAATATGACACTACTACAGCAAGTTCATTCAGGGTTTGGTCATCGTTTTGTCGTGTTCAATGTGAAAATAGGTTGTCTGGAGGAATTAGAACGGGAGAGCTCATTTAGGAACTGGGTTGTGTAGGTTCGAGGGTAATTAGCTTGTTTTGTGGGTATCACATCGGGTCACTGTAATTTGGCGAACTAGCAATCGATTCTTATTGTATGAGATGTAAGTCGTCTGAATGTTAGAAGCTTCGGATGAATCATTTGATGTCTGAAAGAATCATGTATCTGTGTGTAGGCTCATGTATATCAGTATATGTATGGACTTGTCTTGTGTGTGCGTTTGGATATACAGTTGTATATATGATGACTGATGGGTTGGCAATTCATCTTAGAAATTTATAGCTACTGCGATGAGTATCGAGCACCTTCTACATAGTTCTTGCTTCCAATTTAACTGTTTAGTAATGAAGTAAAGTAGTTGATCTTGTTGCCATCTTTTTTTTTCTAGTAATGCTTCTCTACTTTAAGCGACTCTTCTGTCATTTTGATGTTCCAACAGGGCATCTGAATCTTTTGGGGTAATGCAATAGTTTGATATTAGTCTTGAACCCTTTTCATCTGGTTGCCTGTAACAGGGCAGAACATCAGAAAGCTGGTGAAGGATGGTTTCATCATCAGGAAGCCCACCAAGATCCACTCACGTTCTCGTGCGAGGAGAATGAAGGAGGCCAAGAGAAAGGGTCGTCACTCTGGATATGGTAATGTCAAACATTTTATTGGATGGTCTTCAATTGGCTTCCATGATTCACTTTTTTGATGGGGGTCATTGAATTTGTTGAAAATTTAGTCGTTTGATTGCTACCTCGGTTAGACTTAAGAATTGCCTGAGGTGTTTATATAATTGTAGAAACTTAATGGGGAATGCTACATTTTCAGGTAAGAGGAAGGGAACAAGAGAGGCAAGGCTGCCAACCAAGATTCTCTGGATGCGGAGAATGAGGGTATTGAGGCGTTTGCTCAGAAAGTACCGTGAGTCCAAGAAGATCGACAAGCACATGTACCATGACATGTACATGAAGGTGAAAGGTAATGTTTTCAAGAATAAGCGTGTCCTCATGGAGAGCATCCACAAGTCGAAGGCCGAGAAGGCAAGAGAAAAAACGCTCTCTGACCAGTTTGAGGCCAAGCGTGCTAAGAACAAGGCTAGCAGGGAGAGGAAGTTGGCCAGAAGGGAGGAGCGTTTGGCTCAGGTAAAATTGCAATAAAACATTGACAACCACATGTGAATTTTTGTAGCTTGTAGGATGGATAGGAGTTTGCCCTTTTCCTTAATCCGGCTTCTTTTTTGGGCAGTTATCCTTAGTATGTGTTTGTTTTGGGTTGCTTATGTTTTTGGCATTTATAGGGACCTGGAGAGAAAGCGCCAGCTGCAGCAGCACCTCAACAGGCAGAGTAAGAAACCCTTGTCTCTTTCCTTTTCTCTTTCTGATTTTCGGGTTGAATCCAGCTAGTAAAGTATAGAGATTCTTAGAGCATTGGTGGTCTGAGGAAACGTGTTCATCCTCTCTGTTACATTGGGCTTCTGTCTGTCCCCACTGAACTTGTGTCTGAGCATAGTTTCAGCTGTCGCCAAGTCACTGCCCGAGTAACCCGTATCTTTTGTATTGTTCTCTGCAGGGGAACGAAGAAGTCGAAGAAGTGATCCGAGTGAGATTTTGCAGTTGATCCTCTTGAGGTTTGGATTGGATAATATTTGGTCCCTTGTTTAAGTTTTAAATTGTAGAAGAATACTTCCTCTTCCATCTTTTGTGCTCTGTCCGGAAAGATTTTTCATGTTTTTTAAAGCTATGGATATCTCACAAAGCTGATACTTATATTCGTAGATCTGGTTATGTTATGATTTTTTTTTTCTGTTGGGTTTCACTAATATATTATTTTGATTTTGACCAAAAAAAAAAACAGGAGATAGGAATTGTCAACATATAATGTTGTTGAGACCCAACAAGGCCATCATGATCCCTTTTATGTCCTCGTGTACATATATGTATATAACTTATATATATATACGTGTATAACTATGTATCATGAAAGATGGAACTAAAAAAGTGTCGTCCCTGTAATCTCTTTTGCACCTTTGGCATGTAATGTTCATTATTATTTGTATTTTTGGTATTTTTGGTGATGAATAGGTGGACAATCTATTACATATAATTAAAAAAAAATACTATATATTATAGTCCACGTCCACTAAATGTCGTGGATAAGAGACTTTGCGACTATGACCATTTATTGATATGCTAAATTATTAACGGAATAAGATTATTTCATACGATGTTAATGTCTTGTGAATCTGAGGTAATTTTTCAAACTATTATCATCATCTCCATTCATCAAACGTTTTCGTTTCATGGAAACCTTTCCCGAAAACGATATTATGCACATGCGATTAGGGGGTTGTATATACATAAACCAATTAATTAGGATAATCATCATTGGGATTACAATGTTTTTTTTTTGTTAACGTTTGGAAACCAGCCCTTGGTCTTTCAGGCCAGACACCGCAATACCTCGCAGTCCAAGGACCGGACGAATGACACGGTATTGCGGACAATAAACTCATACAGTCCCACACAATAACCGGCAAACCACGTGGAACAAGTAAACTAATCGAAATTGACCGGTTCAAGGGGAAACTCAGACACCCTGAGGTTTCGAACTCTCCATCCCTAGGTTGTGACTAATCACTGGGTTAGAGCTTCCTCCTATTACAATGTTGAATAAATATTAAATGTTTTAGATTCGGACAAATAAGCTAAACGGTAAATACTTTGTCTACAGTTTTGTTGTTACCATGCTTCCAAACAATTTATAAACAGTTTTTTTTTCAAACTTTTTTAAAAAAATATAATGATAAATACAACTTTTGTTTTATGAATTTATTGTATCAATGTGCATTAAACATGTAATTTTATCTATTTGGACTAGAACACTATTTGTTAAATCCAAGTGAGATGCGCAAAATACTCTCGACTCAAATTCAAATATCACTGGGAACAAATCTTATAAACAAAAAACAACTATATATTCGATTATATTCGATTTTATTGGTAATGAGGGATGTAATTTTTAGATTAAAATAGTCTATATTGATTCTAGATCTAGAGTATATGTAGTCAGGTTATAAAAAAACAAAAAAAAAATTTATATGTTACTAATTTTATTTTTAGTTGAAATTTTGGATATTAATTTACATAATTTGTTATTTGAATTCATCGTCAAAAAAATATCTCACGATCTAATCCGAAACGCTTCCCGAGACAAAAGCTATATGTCGCGAGAAGAGGGCACCACGTCATCAACCCCGACTGGGCCAGCATGCGGCGGGCGCCATTAGATTCTCCTCAATCCCAGTTCCGCAAGGCTGATGTCAGCCAAAAAAGGGCCTCGCTCCTCTACTTGCTGACCCACCTATATTCTCTATGCCAAGCAATAATAGCATGCCACGTTGTAATCGTTTGTGTTACACATTGATTGATAGGATAATAAATTACGTCACTGCTCGTTTTTAATTAGATGTTATAAGTAACTACACATTTCAAAACTAAAGCCCAATTTTACATATACACACGCAAACGGAAATCCTCTCACTCTTTTTAAATAGGTTTGTTAGATAGTTTTCAAATTAAAGATTTTCTATGAAAATAATTCATAAATGCCTTCGACTGTTACATGCGGAAAGTTACAAAAGAGTATGTTTTTTTTTTTAAATTTCCTGAAAGTTTGCATTTTTCCGTCAGCTTTAATTGCTATTTTTCAATCTGTATGGATATTCAGCTGTCTAGGTTTGAGCAAGAATCTGGGTTCTTCTTCAACATGAAGTACTTGGAAGGGAAAGCTCTTGCCGGGGAGTGGGATGAAGTGGAGAAACATCTTTCCGGCTTCACCAAGGTCGATGATAATCGGCAT